CAGCACATTTGAGCAATGCAATTGTAGTGGATAAAATGGTCAATTTTTCCGTGCAGTACTGTACGGATTATACGCTCCTCACCGGTTAAGAGTTTGGACGAGAGTTGTCTCCTTCCTTTTTTAGCCTAGTGCTGTTCTTTTCTACTTTGCGCCGGTCATACTGAAGGTCACATCGTTAGAGAAACTAAACGAAGTATAACTATTTCTCAGTTTTGTATTTTTCTGTGTAAAGATCTGAAAGGGCCATATGTTATTCATATCAGTTTTTCCATTTCTATGAAGTACCAATTTAAATAATTAGTAATATAATTGTCTTGACGTCAAAAGACCTGTCCAGTCTCATTATTAAGTGAACCTCTTTGTGCTGTAACACTCATATACATATTAATTTCCATTAGATAGTTCAATAAAGAACAAACCAAATCAACTATGAAATTCAACGTTCGGTTTAACAATATTTCCTATTAATAGATAAATTGTTTGTTCATCGTCGCAGTGGCTTCGATATAACAAAAGATTTTTTTATTACACCATCGGCAGTCGTAAAACTTCTTCTTTATTTGTTTTTGTGCTTTCACAGAGGACAGTTTATGTTGCAGTTATTAGGGGAAAAATCCGCCGTGGAACGTGTAAAAACTCTCAATCATGATAAAACAAGTAGTTAAAAACTTCTGTTTCGATTAGTAGTTTTCAAGTTTATGACAGTTATTAATTATAACGTAATAATAAATTCGTAATAAATACGTGTAATAATACCAATAATTTTGAATAAGAATTTAATCAACAAAATAATATTTCATATTATGACCCAAATAAAACAAAAGTGTTGATACGTAAGGGTAATAAAAATAGGACCAAAATTAATATAAAAATAGAAGACGATAAACCAGAAAAAGTAGCTGATTATCGATATTTGGGGGTTAGATAGTTAACTGAAGACGGAAAAGCACTAGAGATATAAAAAACGAATAGCGTTGGGTCAGGTGATTGTATATAAAGGAAAGTCACTTTTGGGCTCAAGATTGGTCAATTCGGAAATACGAAAACAATTATATAAGATACACGTTTGAAACATGGAGTCTATATGGTTGTGAAGCGTGGACGATGGGTCCTACGAAATGGGTTAGAAATGTTTGATGAGTTTTAAGTGAATTTGTTTTAACTTTATTAAAGTATTTTTCTCTTTCCTGGACAATAGTTTAAACATATCCATGAAAATACGTTGTGGGTATACTTCATTTACTTTCTGTAGCGATGTATCCCTTCCAATGTCTTGGATGGACGCCTGAAAAATCGTAGGTAATGATAAAAATGCTCATTATACTCTGGAATCTTGTTCATTAAACGTACTTTTTCATACAGTACCTGCCAAAAGTTTTGTTCAATCATGAATAGTAGTACGAATCGAAAACAAGCGTTAAAGCCTTTAACATGTCTTCAAATATAAATAAACATCTCGTTGATATTTTCAATAGTAATTGGTACCAATAACAGCACATTTGAGCAATACAATTGTAGTGGATGAAATGGTCAATTTTTCCGTGCAGTACTGTACGGATTATACGCCCCTCACCGGTTAAGAGTTTGGCCGAGAGTTGTCTCCTTCCTTTTCTGACCTAGTGCTGTTCTTTTCTACTTTGCGCCGGTCAAACTGATGCTCACATCGCTACAGAAAGTAAACGAAGAATAGTTCTTAATTAACGCATAGTATAGACAGCTTTCTCTGTACATAAAACGACTTAATAACTTAAGAAACGTTAAACTGCCTTAGTTGCTCATTTAACCAGTTTTGATATTTGATATCAAATGTTCTATTCCCAATATTTTTTGTTCGTGGTGTTTTTTTAAAAGGTTTCGACAGTATTTTATAAGGTTGAGGGTCCATTTCAAATAAAACGAACAAACATTTTCCGGTTTATTGGAAACATAAAGATACATTTGTCTTCCATCATCCGTCTTCCGATAACGCGTGCTTTTTCTAAAAACCGATTCCACCGGATAATACAAATTGATCTGCTCATCCCCTTGTCACTTTTTAGCCACACGAGCAGATAAGAAACCACATAAGAAACGTAGTCCCGCGGGTGTCAGCACAACTTCCAAAGCTTGACAGTGCTGCCTCACGATCGTCTCAGAGGATTGTGCAATCCGAGACCCAAATAGAAAAAGGACAACTATAAAATAAAAGATTAAATGGACCGAACAATAGATTGTCTGTAGGTCAGTGTTTCAACCCGGGAAAAAATTCCTTTATACATAACAGAGATAACGCTAACTGAAGCTGGCGATATAAATATATATTGCAATTTCCACAAAATTTTTGGGTCATCATCATAAGATTTTCAGTCCTACATCTTTAGCCGTTTACGAACAATAATCTAGTCTAAGACTACCTCTACTTCTCTTAACTCAATTTCGGCCTGTTGTCGATTCCCACAACTTCCTCTGTTCTCCCACTCTTTCTAATACCTCCTTACCTGACGGACACAAAAAAGGGATTTAGTTTAATAGCGTGTGGTACTTTTTTATTGTTTGATACTTTAGTATTGTATGAAAAAAAATTAAACAAATATACTTGTATGCAAGGGAAGAAAAAGTAGGGAAATAGGTATTATAAAAATAGGAGACGAAAAATTTGAAAAAGTTTCTAATTTATAGTAGAATGAAGTTATATAGTTTCTAATTTATTTAGGATGTTAGATAAGTCAGGACGGAAAGATGGAAGGAGCATGAGCAATAGAGGATAGCGTAGGGTTGAGTTGCCTTTAAGTAAAAGAAGAAAAGATTAAAGAAACAGCAGTTAAGTGGAGTAGAGATAGACCTAGATTAGATTACTGTTTTAGGGAAATCCGAAGATTAGCTCTAGGTAGGAAAAAACGGATGTGCGTGTCCAACCAGTCTTAAAACAGACAATGATGACTTTAGTTTTACATTCATACTCCTGATGATGCCACAGCAAGGTGAAACGTACATAGAGTAAATAAAGAACAGCATTTTGAAACTTCTATAACTGCTTTTATCTAAATCTTACTTCAACTATTGTTTATTTTCTCGTTGACAGTTCAATCATTCGATAAAAAGTTTCAAACTAAAATAAACAACTAAATAATGATAGATAGGTACCTATATATGAATTAGACTAGAAGTATATTCTGAAGTGGTTGCATTAAAATTGCAAAACTGGTGAGTCATTTATCACAATAAATATCCTTTTATTAAAGTTTCCTTTTGATTAAATTCGAAGTGTACCGTATCATTATCCCTAAAAGTTCGTTTGTCAGTAAATCGTTTTATATAGAATAGCAAGCGAAGTGGAGGTTGTTATTATATTGTAGAATATTAATGTTGGAGGCTAAATTACAGGACGAGTTTTTGTACGTATTTTAAACAGCCAACGGCTGTCGAAGTCCTTTCTCAATTTAACCATGTATGGGAGTCGTAAGCTCTCCTATCCTTACCGTTTACATTCATCATTCCAGTTTAAGTCATCCGCTGTCACGGATGGAAACAGGCTGCTGGCTGGCGAAAATCATAAAAACGCGGGACTTCTCCTTGAAAAAGGACCAAATTTTATCTGCCAAGTCCTTGGCGTTCTTCGCAGCTCTGCGAGGAAACTTAGGACCTGTGATTTATCACCTGCCATGTCATTATTCAAATTGAATATATCCGTTGTTTTTCGCATTTTTTCCCGTGTATAGATAAAACTTAAGGAATGATTGATAGTGGATACCATACAGACATTGTAACCCTCCTACGGACCGTGGATGCTGTAAACTCGCGAGGATAATAAATCCTCGAAACAATTTGCATTATTTTTCATCTTAATAGACTTAATAACGCTCCGCTGTGGTAAAATTCAAATTCGTATTCGAAAACTCCATTAGCTTCTGCTTCTTGACTGCCTGTTACATTAACTTCGACCGAGCATCGGCGACGTCTTTTACAACAAGAATAACTACCATGTTTTGTCTTAATTCCATTGTCTCGGAATCGGAGAAATGAATAGGAAATTCCTTAACTGAATAATTAAATAAAATTAGTACTAATACCATAAACGTAATTTTACTACCTAAACTCAACTATAAAATAACCCAAAAATTAATCAAATCTTCGCGTTGGTGAGAATATTAGTAATTTAGGTTTTTACATTACTATTATTGACAAGGAAAACTAATTAGAAGTGTAGTTTTGAAATTGGAAAGATTCTTTGCAGAAATATAACATTCGAGAAGGCATTTGACTGTGCGAGATAGCGTTCTTTAGAATGAGACAAAATATCGTTGGGCAAAAGTCAAAATATAATTTTAGTTTGGACTTTAGCTTTCAATGAGTCTTCTTGTCAAATCTGCTGATTAAAAGCTCATTAACTTCCTAGACGGTTCCATCTTCTTCTGTAACGTTTATGTCAGCCAATAAACCCAAAAGATACTACAGTAGAACCTTGATAACTTAAACCTCGATAACGTAATGACCTCTATAAATTCATAAAATTTTGTGTTCCCTTCCCCTCGGAGTCCAAAACCTCTATTACTTAAAATATAAACCATCTATAACTTAAACGGATAATTTGGTCTTCGCACCTCAGTAAGCAGTGAAAAGTGGTTTGAATCGGGAGAAAGTCTTCTATGTAAAAGACGAAGAATTGCTGAATTTCCTAATTTAGATAAATGCTTGTTGTTTACATGATTTAGACAGTTTAGAAATAAAAACATTAGTGTTAGTGGACCTATACTAAAGGAAAAAGCTGAAGGGTTTGCTAAGTCACTGGAAATCGATAGTTTTAGATCTTAAACTTAAACCCTTAACAAGTAAAAACCTTAATAACTCAAATTATTTTACGTTTCCCTTGGTCTTTATCTTATCGAGGTTCTACTGTAGTAAAACTAAAGACGTCGGTCGTGAATGCCTACATTTACGCAGTTCTTACCTTGATTTTATCAAATTTTTGATAAATTAGGTCTCTTTTCCAGCACTTTACGATTTTTCCTCTTTATTTGCAGGTAGACCGTATCCCTTATTAAATTGCACGGTTATAAACCAAAGTTCGAATGCGTTAGAAGTTGAATGTGTGGAGAGTTTCGACGGCGGTCTGCCCCAGAGCTTCATCATGGAAGTTCTAGAGCTGCCGTCTCTCGAGTCTAAGCTCAACGTCACGACGCACAAGGCGCCTCCGACGTTTTACGCGGAAGGTCTTGATGCAACCGCAAGTTACAGGATATTAATGTATGCCGTAAATGCGAAGGGACGGAGCGACCCAGCAGTGATTGATGCGGTAACCTTCAAAGGGGTTGCCAAATTCACAGGTAATCCTTTAAACACCCTAATCGCACTTGATGTAATTTTCGCCCTCGGGGATTCAGCGTTAAGCACCCGAAACATCTTCGTATGATGATACGAAACACAATTTTTTTTAAATACTTCTTAAAATTGAAATGTCATCCGAGAAAAAATGAAGCAAGAGCGTTCAAATTGTATGCGTCTGTAAGAGGAATAATAAAATACTTATTCCGTTTTCAGGACAGGCGTCCATGACCATGAGTCCGTTATTCATGGGACTCCTGGGCACTGCAGGAATATTAGCGACAGGCGTTTGTCTCGTATTTGCGGCTCTATGCCGAAAACATTATACGAAACCGTGTCACCGATCCGAAGGTGTTACGAAACATATCCCGATGGAGGCTGTCATGGCTACCGACGATTTGGTTGACAGTCCTGTCACAGACCACAGGGGATCCGCCAACTTGGAGCCGCTGTTCGCCGATTCTCTTAAGAATATCGTAGAAATAACCGACCCCGATATTATAAGGAATCAATACGGTAATGGGATAGGTATTGTGCAATTTATGTAATGTTCATGACTCTTCCGTTGGTAGTGCATCTTGCCGCGTATCAAACGTTTTTTGCAATTTGATCTTGCTTATTCGGTCTTACTCTTGATTTTGCTTATATAGTCTACAAGAAAAGAATATATTAAAGTTGCTTCACATAGTTTAACTCATAAATTCACCGGAAGCAATAATTTTTCGTTAAGTTTTACCACTCGGTCTTGGTTTTGGTCTTCCATTTTCCCAAGTATGAATGTAGGTAACAGCTAGGATACATATTATTATACCCAGTGTTTATGTAGATATATATTTCTATATATATATATGAATATATGTGCGTAAATATAATTGTACCCTAAAGTTTCCAGGATATAGAGATTAAAGATCATTCTGATTCAAGTTCAACTCGGTTGTCTCTCGCAGATAAACTGCTAATTCTGGGTCGAATTATCGCATACATTAGGGGGTTGCGAAAACAAAGGAAACCGGGGGATGAAAACGACTGCAGCATGTTAAAGCCTTTCATCCGCTTAAGGTCCCACTAAATTTAGCAAAACTGCTTTCATGACCTGTCAACCGAAATTAATGGCTCGTTCTATAAATTTCACTGTTTTGCTCTTTCTTTAAAAATGTCACCTTATGAAATATTTAAATTCATGTATATTTTGTATTTTCATCTATTTTCCACCTCTAAAATCAATACCCGTCCTTTTAACAAGAACGTTACGATGAAATACAGTGGATTTCGGATATAACGACGACAAAGGGACCACTGTAATTTCGTCGTTATATCCGGAAGTCGTTACAGGCAAAGGGTAAAGAGATACAGACACGTATATATAATTTTCACTATTTTTCAATTTTGAAACTATTTCCGCCTTTTCTTTTTCGAGTTTAATGTACACCTATTTCATTATCTTATTGAGTCAGTTTCAAAAAATTTCATTAGCTTAATTACATTTTGGTCTTGAAAACCAAAACCTTTTAACAGTTTAATTTTCCTCTATAACATTCTCGGATATAAAAACCAAGGTTTTAATGTAGTCACAATCTTAGTAATAACCAAACCTATAAGTCTAAAACTACTGGATATGTTTGGATTTCTACCTAATGTCGATAACATTTCTTTACCGCTCATTTTAGAAAGAAAATCCAGCCAAACGTTTACAAAAACATATCAAGAGACTGACTCAAGAGTAGCTGAAGACGAGAACGACGAAGAATTCAGGTTTCTAGCCAAAGAAAACGTTCAAAGTCCTAACAAAAATGTAAGTGAATACTTGTACTTTTATTTCAATTCGTTACCTGTGGTTCTGTCACGTCACCGTTGTTTACGTGTAATTCAATGCTTTGTGTTCACTTGAAGTTTTTAACTTCAGATTTATAAATCACTACAGAGGTCCGTGCGAACGCCTTCGACCATTCAACCATCCTTAGCGCAGAAATACAGAGGTCATGAAATAGTTACGACTTCTAATCGGATACAAGAGAGCTGTATCTAAGTGAATGTGTTTGTATTGTTTAAAGTATATTTGAACGTAATAAATTTATTCCTGTTTCTTTTTGTCGATAGATGACTTTATTATTCTATCACTCGATATTTCAGATTCCTTCAGAAACTTCTCCATGTCCTTCTGTTAGTTACCGTTTCCATTTTATTTTCTCTTTTTAATCTCTTCTATATCTCGATCCCATTTTCCACCCCTCTTTATGACCTCTTCTTTCTCATCCCCCTTTCTTTTCTCTTATTTACAATCCTTACCATAAATGATGAAGCTCTTTCCTAGGTTAATACAGATTTTTTGATTCTTATTATTGACAAAATTTCTGATTATTTGTTATTATTTTAAACGCAGTAATTTTTTTTTATTATCCAAAAAAAAACATATTAGAAGCAAAATCAGAAGTTAAGAGGGGCTAAAGTAGACCTAGATAAAATTAATTGTTTGCAAATAGAGATGTAGGTTACTAAGTGGGAAGATTGGCTCAAGATAGGAAGAAGTAGATGATGATCCCAAAAAAATATATTTAGACAAAACCCTCATTCGAATGGTGAGGAATCTTTCAACGACATGGTCTGGAGCATGGAATTGAAATGGCGAATAAGAACAAATTCTGGAACGGTTCTTAACAAAAGTAAGAAAAAATTTGATTATTTATCTTTTAGAAAGTAGTCTTCTTTGTAACCAGATTAATATAAATAATAGCACACAATTTACACATAACCATTAGGGAATGAAACAACAATAATTTTTATTTGTTTATTTCTATTTTTATTGTGCTTTTTGTTAATCGTCTTCATGTTTTCTTTTCAATGATGTTCGATGTGTTTCTGGTTTCTCTTCAACCAGTGATGAAGAAGTCGGACTGAAAGAGCGCGTCTCAATTTCCTTGACAAAAAAAAGACAAACATTCATAAAATTAACAACAAAAATTGATCTCCTAAATACCTTTGGTGAATGATAATATGCGATATGGTGCTGCACCGCCATCCATACTTTGTTTTCTTCAAGCAATTTCTTAACTGCTTCAATATCAGGAGCCATAAATCTGTCTGCATCCAGTGACCTTTAAAAATATTTTTCATAAGCAACAACAAACTTGCGAAGATATGAGTTTAAGCAGTTAAAAATAAAAGCAACCTAAACGAAACTCTTTTCCTGGACATAAAACTTTAAATTACTGTAAAGAGAAATACACTATCTCAGACTTACTTCAATCAAATGTCAAATTTTACATGTATTATAGATATGGACTTTAAAAATAAAGAATAAAATGCTTAGAAATCCTTCAACTCCACAAAAATAAACCAAGAAGGAATTTTTAAAACCGAATAGAACTAATTTTAATTCATGAAATTCTGATATATAAATGGGTATTTGATTTTGAATAAGTATTACGATATTAGTACAAAAGAATAAGTTGAACGAATTTACGATTATTGCTATTGAAAAATTCTATGTGTATCAAATAAAAATTATTTGGCAAAAACAATGCACCTGACCTTGCAACTTTCCTAACTGCTAAATAAACTTCTTCTAATGGAGCAGTTGTTCGAAGCGGCCTCAAAAATTCAATTGCTTGGCATGCAGCAAGCAGCTCAATTGCTATCACATTTTCCACATTTTCGACAATATTCAATGCCTTTCTCGCCGAGAAACATCCCATTGATACGTGGTCTTCTTGACCAGCACTGGTACTAAGACTATCCACGGATGAGGGATGACACATAACTTTATTTTCGGACACTGAGATATTAAAAAGGAATTGGTTTAATGAAATTCTAGTTTTGATATAGGTGCATAGGTATATTAGAATTCCAAAATTTGCTATTACTTTTCACTGTCATTTAATGGCGACTTGCGCCTTCAAAAGTGAAGAAATTCGACAGTAAGAATAGTTCCAGTTACGCGTGCAATATTAATGAGTATTAAAAATGTACAAACTGTTACAAATTTTGCATTTAGCACTTGCATCATTAATATCAACAAAATAATCTCAAATGTAACTTCACCTTTGCAACGAGCAATTCCATTTAAATTGTGTTTTTAAAACGGCTAAGTTCAGACAACAGACAAAAGTAATAAATTTTTGTAGTACGACTTGTTTTATTATTCCGATATACTGATTTTCAAAAAGATAAGAAATAAGATTTTGTTAATTTCTGATAAGCTTCCGTTATAAAGATGCGGAACAGTTACAGAAGCGGATGTGAAAATGAATGCGGAACATCCGTAATTGCGGACGCGGAAGCAGAGGTTTGTTTTAACACTAATAGTGACCCGCTCGCGTTGACATAAATCTAAACAGATACAATAATTTCATATAATTTTCTATCCGCAATTTTATCATCTATAGTATTACGTATTTTTACCCGAAATAAAAATGTTCAGTCTCTGAGAGTATCTGAAAGCGAGACTAGAGTCTCCGCCTCTCATCGAGTCTCTCTGGTGTCGCTGAGAGAGACTGTCGAGAGACTGCCAAAAAAACTGCTTAGCGTCTCTGAACGAGAGACTCGAATCTTTAAACGAAAGACTCGAATCTCTGAACGAGAGACTCGAATCTCTGAATTAACAATTTTATCGTTCGAGTCTCTCATACAGAGACTATGAGAGATCCATAAAAATACCTAGGCAATAACTGAGAGACTGTGAAAGACTGTGAGAGACGCTCTCAGAGACGTTGAGAGACTCTGAGAGACTGGAGAGAGACTTATAATTTTTAGCTTCATTTTTTAAAACAGACATCATCAATTACAGGTTGTTTCTTTAATCTACGCTTATTAAAACCCAATTTTGCTTGATAATTGCAAGGCTTCGAACAAAGAAACAAATAAGGAACGATGTTAAAAATTATAAAGACGATAAAGCATAACGGTTGCTGCTTAATTTCGTAATTAATTATTTCCGACAAAAGCTTCTTCGAAAATATCTTTTATAAGTACGTTTACAGAAATAATAATTCTTAATTAAGGTAAATAGGTAACATTTTTGCTTACCCAGAGCGGCTGAAGTACAGTGAGCAACCATAAAACCAGAATTAACACCACCATCATTGACTAGAAAGGCAGGCAAACCACTTAAAGCTAAAAATAATTAATTTATTATCGTATTACTTTCACTTGTCATTTAAATACGTTCAAGGGATTAAAGAAACATGCACTCAATTGTTTCCAAAATTATGCATATGTACTTGACACTAATTTCAAAGTATATTATTTTATTTCATTATTTATTGATAAAGCTTTTCCTAGTTTTTTATTTTTATCTAAAGACCTTTCTGTCTCACTCACAAGAAATTATTGAAACTATCGGGTTGTTCGGAAAGTCATTTCGTTTTTTCCCGACAGAGGATTTAATTATATTCTTTTGCACCCAACTTCACATTTAAGCCGTATAATTTTTATATGCTTTGAGAGCTCATATAGCAAGGCTTGTGTGTGAAAAATTCCAATTAATTCTACGCAGTAGTTTTTGGTTGGTGCCCTTTTAAATATGGAGAGCGATAAGCAGCATTTTCGACATATCTTACTGTTTTACTACAGAAAGGGTAAAAATGCTGTTCAAGCCAGAAAGAAATTGACTGATGTGTATGGAGAAGGTGTGTTGACAGTACGCCAGTGCCAGAACTGGTTCGCTAAATTTCGATCCGGCAATTTTGATGTCGAAGATGCACCACGTTCGGGAAGGCCGGTTGAAGCTGATAAAGACGCGATAAAGGCATTAGTTGATGTGAACCGGCGAATAACAACACGTGAGATCGGATTGAGGTTAAATTTATCAAATTCAACAGTTTATGACCACTTGAAAGGCCTGGGATTATCCTCGAAGCTCGATGTATGGGTTCCCCATGTTCTCACAGAGAGAAATCTGTGTCGCCGCATTGACGTCTGCGATTCGCTTCTCAAACGTCACGAAAATGATCCGTTTTTGAAGCGCATCATCACTGGGGACGAAAAATGGGTTGTATACAACAACGTCAAACGCAAGAGGTCATGGAGCAAAAAAGATGAACCGGCTCAAACCATTTCCAAAGCCGATATTCACCAAAAAAAGGTGATGCTGTCTGTTTGGTGGGATTTTAAAGGAATCGTTTTTTTTTAGCTTTTACCGGATAACACAACGATTAATTCGGAAGTCTACTGTCATCAGCTGGACAAACTGAATGATGCACTTCAACAGAAAAGGTCAGAACTAATCAACAGGAAAGGTGTAGTGTTTCACCAAGACAACGCGAGACCTCACACAAGTTTGGTCACTCGCCAAAAGCTTTTACAGCTTGAATGGGATACAATGCTACACCCACCATATTCTCCAGACCTGGCACCATCGGATTATTATTTGTTCCGGTCACTCCAAAATTTTTTAGACGGTAAAACCTTCACCTCAAATGAGGAGGTCAAAAACCTCCTCGATCAGTTTTTTGCCAGCAAAGACCAAAAATTTTATGAGCGTGGAATTATGCTACTACCAGAAAGATGGCAAAAGGTGTTGGACCAGAACGGTCAATATATAATTTAATAAAGTATTTGTTTATTATACGAAAACTGTCTTTCATTTCCACAACAAAAAACGAAATGACTTTCCGGACAACCCTATAGTTTCTGTGGAAATGTAGATTAATATAGTTTCCCTTTCTGTTTTTCTAACGGCCGTTTCAAATAGAAAACTTTTAGTAAGAATTATGCTACTCATAATATGTTTTTTTTTCAACAAACCTACAATGGTATCAAAAGCTCAAAAAGTTGAAGTTTTATACGCGTTTATGAGGGAAGCAAACTGGGGTAAGTAACAAATATTACATTTTTTATCACAAATATTATTCTTGCACGATTTTTTTACCTGGATTAATAAGTCTTTCGATTCTTCTTTCGCTCATTGAGGCCAATTCGTGAACCGCAATTCCCAAATAATCCAATACTTTAGCCGGATACTCGCCATGGAAATTGCCCCCTGAAATAATTTCACCCCTTTCTGCAAAAACAATCTGTTACAAAATTAAGGCTTGTTACTTTATCGTAATTTTTGTAATGGGTGATAATTACTGATTGCGAGTACTTTGCGAAATGTTCACTTTACAACGAGAGACTCGTATTAATTAATCATTAATCAATCAATCAATCAATACACATTAATTTTACGTATTACACGTATGTAATATGTATGCATGTGCAAATTAATGTGTGTATCAAAGGATACAGGATTATCAGTTGCGCTGTTCATCTCCGTGTGTATAATTCCTTGTACAAAATCGATGGTATCATGGACAATTCCATGAACCTGGGGACAACACCTTAGGGTGTAGGCGTCTTGAACTCTGTTACAAAAACGATGACTTTCTAAAAATAAATTAAAATGATGTCGAATCAATATCTGAAAATTTTAAGGTTAATTTTAATTTCTATATATTTACTACTACAGATAGAGAAGGTTAGAGATAAAGAGGTGTTAATAGAAAGAATAGGTGAAGAGAGGACTCTCAATAAGAAATAAGTTGGTAGGGCACCTTCTCAGGACTAGTCAGGGACATATTAGAGACAGAAACAGGAGTTAAGAGGAGTAGAGGTAGATCTAGATTAGATTAATGTACGCAAATAATTAAGGATATCGGATGTTCTAGTTTTAGGGAAATGCGAAGATTAGCTCAGAATAAGGAGTGGAGGTGCGTGTCCAATCAGTCTTAGGACTGGAGCATACGTAATCGTAAAATGTAGCATCGTGCTACAGATGGCGTTTACTGCGCCATTTGTAGTATTTTCTAAAAGTCTTAGGACTGTTGACCCTATGATGACCCTTTTAGTTATTATTACCTTCCCACTTATATTGTTTTAGAATTGATTTCTGATTGCATGCTGATAACAAGCAACGTTAAATACATAATTTTTGATACTATCGTCTGACTCATGAATAATCTCACAAGAGCTGCTTCATCTGTTATTGAGAAGCGTTAAAGTTACGTACAAAACTTACCTGCAATTTGAGATGGATAAATATCGGAATGAAGTAGGGCCCTTAAACGTTTGGCAACGGCCACCTGTCCTTTATGCGGCCTGATTTTTTGGACGTCAGAGTCAAAAGCCCTCGAGGTTCCCTTAAGAACTTCTAACGAAAGTGCGGCTACAACATCGGCTTGACGAGCTATACGTAATGCTCTCTCCACCGCCTCTGCACCAATACTCGTAATGAGCTGAGTGCCATTTATCAAAGCAAGACCCTCTTTTGCCTTTAATTTTAAAGGTTGAAGTCCATGTTTCTCAAGAACCTGCCGATTGCAATCCCATTAGTTTATTTAGGTACATCTATGACAAAATGGTGGACAACAATAGGTGAAAATTTTCTTGGAGAGACCTTTTCAATCAAGAGATTAATTATACTTCATTTACTTTCTCTAGCGATGTGCCCTTTCCAATGTCTTGGATGCGCGCTGACAAAAGCGCATTATACTCTCGACTCTTGTTCATTAAACACACCTTTTCATACAGTACCTGCCAAAAGTTTTGTTCAATCATGAATAGTAGTGCGAGTCGAAAACAAGCGTTAAAGCCTTTAATATGTCTTCAAATATAAACAAACATCTCGTTGATATTTTCAGTAGTAAATGGTACCAATAACAGCACATTCGAGCAATGCAATTTTAGTGGATAAAATGGTCAGTTTTTCCGTGCAGTACTGTACGGATTATACGCTCCTCCCCGGTTAAGAATTTGGCCGAGGGTTGTCTCCTTTCTTTTCTGGCCTAGTGCTGTTCTTTTCTACTTTGCGTCGGTCAAACTGAAGGTCACATCGCTACAGAAACTAAACGAAGAATAGAATAATTTTGAATTCCCAGTATGCTCAACGAAGTTGACAATTAAACAATCTACATATTTGTTGTCATTTCTTCCCCAAAAACAATGTCTAAAGAAAAAAATGAAGCTATGTGTGACCCTGAAGATGTCTCACAATTGAGAGCGAAACGTAGGTTGTTGGTTTCACATAAGTAAAAAACCTTTGCCTCATACATAGCTTGATATTTTACTTTATATAATCTAGATACTGCCCCAGCCCTTCTTTGAAAATGTATTTTTTATTACTTCTTTAGCATCTGTCCATCCAGTTTCTGGGCTCCACATTTTTCCTTCCCCAATCATTCCCAATGCCAGGTGAGCTAAAGGGGCTAAATCTCCACTAGCCCCAACGGAACCTTGCTCGGGAACGTACGAAACACAAGAGGCTTAAAAGAAAAATAGTTTAAAAAGTTTGTACTTAAGGGTATGTCTAGTTTTTAAGGGCGAACTAACTATTAAATGCCTTAATCAGTCCCTGCAATGTTTCCAACGAGATTCCGCTGTATCCTTTTGAGAGCACGTTGATTCTTAATGCCAGCAATCTCCTGGCTTTAACAGGACTTAAAGGATTCCCTACTCCTGCGGCATGGGATCTTATTAAATTATATTGAAGGCACCTGAAACACAAGTTGTTGGTCGTAAATAATTAATAGTCTACAAAAAAAAGCGATCGAGTAATCTTCTGCTTGTTTTAGGTATTAATATATATAGTTAATTGTAAACAAAGGAAAACAGGCAGTAATTATTCAGAAAAATTGTTCCCGGAGTTATGAAGGTAAATTTAATAAATAATTCAATGTGTAATTTAATCGAAAATGTAGAAATCGTTCGTCTTTGTCTACAAAGCTTTTGCAAAGCAATAATTAAAAACTACAAAGCTGTAATTGCAAACTGCAAAACTATAAAATCAACACTATGAAGATATAATTGACAACTACAAAACTATGGTTGAAAACTAAGAAGCCATAGTTGAAAATCAAAAAGCTATAATTGAAAACTACAAAGCTGTAACCGAAAGCGACAAAGTTATTATGTAAAACTACAAAGCTATAATTGAAAACTAAAGAGCTACAATTGAAAACTACAAAGTTATAATTGAAAACATCTATTCTCCATTTCTGCCTCTTAGTTTGGATATGACTAAGCAAAGAATCTAGGCACCTAAGGGTTGAAAGGTTTATATTTGTATGAAGAACCTTATATTGAAAATTTTTTAACAAAAAATGTAACTAATTTTAAATAGGCGTCAAAATAGCGAGACAGCTACCCGAATAAAGCACACGCGTAAGGTAAGCGATCGTGCGGAGAGCGCATTCTTGAAATATTATACTATTAATTATCGCTGGAGATACCAAGTTGAATTTTTATCTTATTTGGTTCTATAATGATTCTCGTTGATTATTTGTTTGGCGCCGGCACAGATTCAAAATCAGTTAGTTGCATTAGTTTAGGAGCTTAGTTAGTAACGCCAAAAAGGTTTATTTTCCATTTAATCTATCGCTTTTGAGATTTTCTTTTCCGTCGATTTAAGCATTTGTTAAAAGATGTTTATTTTTCATTTTCTTTGTGGCACAGATAACAATAATGTAGGTGAAAAATAAATCATCTACTATTTTGCTACCTTTAAGGGCAAATTTAACTAAAACCAGCCTGGAGATATATCCTATTAAAAAAAAAAAAAACAATCATCAATAACGCAATACGCAATAGTTTGTAAGAAGTAATGCGTGATCATACATAAAAAAAAATGAAAAAAAGTATATGCGTCTATTTGAGTACCTCCTTAAAATAAAACATGATAATATAATGATAAAATCACAAATTTTATATATATAGTTAATAACCGCATGGCGAACAATTAATCTTACAACTAAGTTGGGTAATTATTCGCAATACTCGTAATGAGCTGAGTGCCATTTATCAAAGCAAGACCCTCTTTTGCCTTTAATTTTAAAGGTTGAAGTCCATGTTTCTCAAGAACCTGCCGATTGCAATCCCATTAGTTTATTTAGGTACATCTATGACAAAATGGTGGACAACNAAAACATGATAATATAATGATAAAATCACAAATTTTATATATATAGTTAATAACCGCATGGCGAACAATTAATCTTACAACTAAGTTGGGTAATTATTCGCCACGTGGTTTTCAACTATTTATAATATTTATCATTTTATCTTTACAATCGTATTGTCTAGATAATTGTATTTATTTTATGGGTAGATAATGTTACATACAGCTACTCGTGTTACTTATTGTTATGACACTAGAATGTACCTACACACCTAGAAACTGCACTATTTAGAAATAACTGACATTTTACTAGTACTATAAAAATTATTGTAAGAGTCGTACAGTCGGCTAACAAGAATGTAAACGTATACCAGGCATACTTTTACAACAAAACATTTCTGGAAGGCAATCAAACAGGGATGCACACTGTCACACTGTAGGGATAGAAATACAGGGGCAAAAGATTAGTATGCTTAGATTTGCAAATGATATAGCAGTATTAGCATCTAATAAGCAGGACTTAGAGATAGGTTTAAATAAAATGGAAGCAGTATTGACAAAACAGTATTGTATGAAAATAAATAAAAGTAAAACAAAAATACTGGTATGCAAGGAAAGGAAACGTAGGGAAAGAGCAAATATAAAGATAGGAGACGAACAATTAGAAAAAGTGGTTGATTTAAGGTATCTAGGAAGTCAGGTAAGTCAGGACGGAAGGAGTTGTAGGGATATAAAGCAGAGGATAGCACAGAGTCGAGCCGCGTTCAATAAAAATGTCACTTTTATGCTCGCGAACGGTTAATTTAGAAGTTTGAAAAAGGTTGTTAAAGGTGTATGTTTAGAGCGCGATACTGTACGGGTGCGAAACATGGACGATGGGCGCTGCGGAAAAGAAAAGGTTAGAAGCCTCCGAAATGTGGGTATTACAAGAGAATTATGAGGATACCGTGGATAGAAAAGGTTATAAATGAAGAGGTATTAGAAAGAATAGAAGAACAGAGGACTCTACGGAAGTCAATAAGAAATAGAAGATAGGTTGGTAGAACACCTTCTCAGGCATGAAGGTCTAGTCAGAGACATATGAGAGACAGAAATGGGAGTTAGAAGGGGTAGAAGTAGACCTAGATTAGATTACTGTTCGCAAATAGTTAAAGACGTGTGTTGTTCTAGTTTAAGGGAAATGTGAAGATTAGCTTAGGATAGGACAGTGTGGAGGTGCGTGTCCAACAACCAGTCTTAGGAGTGAGGACCTTTTGATGATGACCAAAATTTAAGAAATAGGCAATGTGACCAATTCTTTCGCTTAATGGATATTTCCGGTCTTTTTCTCCAACAAGTATGTATTACTATATACAATTGTTGTAATTAACTTACTCCAGTTTATCATGTGGTATAACTACCCTTGCAAAGTTGCCAAATCCAGTAGTAATTCCGTAAACCACTCTTTTCTGTGATATTATGTCGTCAATAAGTTCTCTCGATTTCAATACCTTTTCTTCTGCTTCCTTTGAAAGCTACAAGCAATTTGGTTATTAAAAACTGTAAACATTTATTTCCTTAATATAGGTAAATTTAAAGAATATAAAAAAAAATTAGAAAATACGTAATTGTTTTTCGTTTTGTGAATTTATAAGAAATGTACAACATTATTAAATACTTACTTTAATTTTATATTTGCCATTACCAAGTTCCATCAGTAAATCTGTTGTCAAATTATTACCGTCCAAGATTATACTCTAAAAAATAACTTAAGTAAGTAATTTTAATACTGTAAATGTAAATAATGTCTACGTACCCTTGAAGGTGGTGTAAAGTGTTTGGGGCTAAAGAACTGTTAAGAGAAAACAACACATTTTCTACTACATATTTCTTCATTGAAATCTAAGCTAATTGTTAATCGTTCAAATTATTTTTCCTGGTTATTAAAATTTGTATTTGTGAATTTATAAACACTAAAAGGTAAAAAGGATACATTATCTCTAGGGTATGCATTACTTCCTTTTGAATAGCTGCATTAATGGATTGAAAATCAGAAACCAGAACTAAAAGAAAAGCAACGTAATAAGGAAATATGAAGCCCTACAATGAAGTTTTCCAAAGCAGTGTTCTTGCTAAATATAGACTCTTCTACAATTACCAGAATCAAATTTTCTATCTCAAGTCCACTATTGAAATTCTATCTAATTACTATTATAGCAAAAGAAGGATAATACGTCATGCCATAATTTGTTTATTTAATTTCAACTCAAATATCTGCTCTTTACATTTATTGTAACATTTAAGAACGAATCAAAATTTAAAAATGCATTCTTAGTTACTTTAGGGTTAGTAATTGTAAATTCTATATTAGAAAGTAGCGAATGCGAAAGCGAACTAAACAACTTTTCTGTTAAAATCTAATCTATAATAAGTGCGTTAACATCAAACATTAATTAATAACTCAGTTTTCGTATCTGAATTTTTTGTTTTTCGCAGAGAAAACTAAAACGAAGTAATAAAGTGGATAATATGGATTGCATATTAGTAGACATCAAATATGCCATGTTAAATGTAGGGTAAATTCTCTTTGGATATAGTCAAAAGCCCTAATATTTAGGTAGATTGTGGGCCTACTACAACCGGAATACCGTAAATAAAAGTTCAAAACGAGGAAAACGAATGTATTATCGAATAGTTTTCATATATTTTTGTAGAATATTTACCAGATTTTTAACGTATTTATTAAAGACTTTGAAACAATAACATCTGATAATGACTTTTATTCAAATTTATTCTACTTTATGTTGAGTTTGGCCAGTTTTTTTATATTCTAACTTTAACGTATATATATATATAATTGACTTATGTAAGTAATAGCCCTTACCAATATTAACAAAGTCATTATTTTCCAAAACATCCCTTATCAAATCGTCAGGGTCTAAAATGACACCCCCTCTTGTTTTCCTTACTTCCTGCACAGGAGGAGTTCTGTCAGCAATCGGTTGATGTTTATAAAACAGTTTTTCATATTTCAGATATGCTTGATTACCTAGCCATTTCACAGTCTCTTTTCCTTAAAAAATCCAAATAGTTATTAGGGTACGTACGGAAGTGAGAGTCCCTTACCCTCTTTGCAGGGTATTTGTAACCACTCGCCCTTTACTCTTGCCGAAATCTTCATTTTCAGAAAACTCTCATTGCCAGGACTATTTTCCTTTTATATAGTTTTCAGAGTTTAACTTAATATTTAAAAGTTAAGATAAAAACGTGTAAATGAACCTGCACAATTGTATTTGTAGTACATGCATGACGTGCGTTTTAATGGTTGTCTTTCAAAGGTAATTTAGACACACTACGATAATAACAACAACGTTCACATAAAAGTAATAGATAATACACAAATGAAAATAGCAAAATGTACATGGGGAAAAACTGTCCAACTCAATAAAATGTTTGTAAAACATTTAAATGTTCAACTACGATAGCAACAACAACATATACATAAATGAGATAGATAATATACAAATGAAAATAGCAAAATTATGTATGAAAAAAGAATATGTACTACAATTAAATCTGATACAAAGAATGATTGACGATTAAGTAAGTGTAAATAAAGACACAAATCTTCAAGATATCAACGCAATTTCTGCTTTGAATAATAGTTTTTACACACTGGCCTCAGGTGACTAAGTGGCTAGGAGCCCAATTAGAAAAAACTAAGACAACTCTGTGTTGGCGATTGGCGACTAAACTCTTTTCGTGGGTCGATGGAATATGGGAGTTGTTAGTACTATCTTTTTTTGTATTAGTACTTGTCCCAGGTGCGATGATCGCCTTGTTGCAGGTAAATCCACAATCCAGTTTTGATTTCCTGTTTGCGCCTTTCTGTGGAATTTACTCGGAAATCGCAAATGGTAGTTGTCTTCCAGTACTGGGCCCTTAATTTTTCGCAAGCTGACTTCCAATTCTAGCTGGTGAATTTGGAGCCATTATCTGTAAGGATTACGCGGGGATAACCATAACGATGCAAAACGTCCTGCTTCAGTAGCCGGGTGGCGATGGCAGTGGTGACTGCGCTAATGGGAAATGCTCCAACGGGAGAATAGATCGGTGACAACCAAAATATTTTTTCTTCCCAGGAATGCCCTAGAGAAGGGTCCCATCATGTTGAGGGCGATATCCCATGATTTATCGGACTGTTGGGATCGAAACAGGGCTCGGGTTATCCGTTGCTTCTTGCTGCATTGGCAAATACGGCATTAACAGATGTAATTGGAAATGTCGGTCTTCGTTCTAGCCCATTTGTAGAATAGCGATAGTTGGATCTTGTCACGCACAGGGTTGGGTGTGACCGGTAGGATTTTCTTCCAAGAAGTTATATCGCTGACAAAGCCGTATGATAACTGGGTCCGTTTCTTGTTCTCTCCTGATAGATTCGCGAAGCATTTCAATGCGAATCTGGAATAATTCTGCTTTGACAGAGTGATAGTAGCTGGAATCAATTTGCAGGACAAATTTTTTGTTAAAGCGAAACAGGAAATACATTCCCATAAGTATAGTTGCACAGACCCAGAATTTTTTTCGATTCTTTACGGGTCATGGGAACGGGTGCTTCGGAAATTTTTCTTAAATGGCTAAGGAGTGGCGAGTTTCTCTCAGCGGAAATGCAGTGGCCCAAGTAGACTAGCGTCCCGGAACCAAAAACGCACTTTTTGGGAACGCAAGTAAGGATATGCTACTGTAACCTTTCGAACATCATCAATTGTTCTTCCTATGAACTAGTGAAGACAAAATTTCCTGAAATATCCTGTCAACACTTCGTGTCCCACTGTCCACTGGAAAGAAGCAGGAGCTCTTTGTGGCTGGAAAGGCATTTTCCGAAAGGCGTCACTACCCGAAACTGGAATTCTCCTCCGTCTGAGGCAGTAAATTCTGTATACGGCCAGGATTCAGGATCCATAGGGTTTTGCCAATAGTTGAAATATTGTTGACTTTCCTATTGCCTTGAGGGTTTCCATGAAACGCCACAAAAGGTGAAATTTCGTAGTTTGTAATACTATTTAAGTCCACGCAGAACCTATAAATCGCCGCTTTTTCTGTTTACCATCACGACTGGAGAATGTGACTTTGGCCTACCTAAATACCACTTGAAAGTCTTTTATCAATCCTTAGAACTGGCTGTGGTATTTGGGAGGAAAATAATGTGTTACTAGTCCTTCGATAAGTGTGGCCAATGTGATGGGTGGGTAACATTTTTCGGACCCAATAAATAGTATGACGTGTATCTATGCCAAAATTAACAAACTTTCTTTCAAAATCGCACGTCGCGTTAATGCCTTGCATCCAAGGAACTCCTAGAATGAACTCTTCTTGTAGGTCTTCGGCGATCAAAGCTTAGATCTCTTTCTGATATCCTTTAAGTAGTAAATATGTATAAGCAACGTTGTCGGCTAAACGGGCGCTTATAAAGTTGTGAGATACTCCCTTGTCTAGTTGCGCTTCAATGTACAACTCCTTAAGGTTTAATGTTACCTGGGGCAACCAGGAACCAGATGTAATGTTGTCTTGATTATTTACGACGGCGGAACGTCTGGCCTTGATTGAGGAGGGTAGATGGAGAATAAATTACCATACACTGTATGAATATGAAGGGTGCTCCAAATGTAAGGAATATAGCTGACACTTTTTCTTAAGACAAGTATAAAGAAGTTTCAGGTAAAGATTTTTGGTACATTCATTTGTTTCATAACAAAATGTTTTTTATTCATACGTTCGGATTTTCGAATAGCCAAAGAATTCTTTATCTTTACTTAACTTAATTAACCCATATGCGTAAAATTACTAATTAGTTACTATATCATGAGACTCCAACTTTCATATTTTCGAGCATTGTCCAAGAACAATCAATACTATTTTTGAGAGAGTAAGAATTGTGCTTCGAATCAATTTATTTTTTGTTTTATTTTTTTTATAAAATGGAATGGAGAAATGTTATCTCGATTATGAAAAACATGTTTGCACGAAATTCATTATACAATTGCATAGTATGTTTCCACAATTCTAAATAAATGTGGGCATTGTTCAGATAACATTGTCTTTCGAGCCATTATTTTAATAATATATATTTGTTTATGTACTTAATATTAAAACAACACTTTTTACACAATTATTTATTCTGACAATTGCACACAGATTTCCAAAAATAGTTTATAATATTTATCATAAAAGAAGCGGATGTGTTGTTAATAGACATACTATTGGTAAATTTGTTGCTATTCTAAAAGTTTTAATGTGAAAGAATAAACGCCATATTTTAGGCAAACTTAGCATTTCAGACTTTTTCCTAGAAATACTTTTAATTAATTAACAAATACAGATACATTTTGAGTGACAGATAAGTGAACCAATTATTATTTTATCATCTTTTATACTTGTTTAAGTACGATTTCTCTGTTTCTTAGAAAATTAAGTCTTAAAACTGTGAACCAATTTAAGTCTCAAAATTCATTAACAAAAAAATTTAGTAAAAGTACATATGCCAAGTGGTTTTCTTTTTTTTTCTTTATAAAAATCGGTTGAAAACAAACCTTGTTCTGGTAAAATTACATGAGTACACACCATGCATACCCATTCTCATATTTGTTTAATTAGCTAATAGCAAATCTAATTGCCCCCTATAAATTATTTCTTATTTAGTTTTTAAACAAGATTACAATATTATGATGCTTATCTTGTAGCATGTTACACAGTTACATATGATCAACAAGTCAGGTGAGAGCTAGCAAGAAGAACAGAATAATTTTAATTCAATTTATTCAACCAATTTTTATACGTAAGTAAAATTATTGTGTTTTGACTTCTGTATCTACTAATTTACTATATCTAAATGTGTTTTTGACTTATTAAAAAGTGAGTGAATTATGCAAAATTTTTTAATTTTCCGCTACTTTTTTTTATCCCAAAAATTCACACTATAACTTACTAATTCTCGTATTTATTAGCTTTAAATGAAAACATTGTTATTACAGAATAAAAAAATGCAGTTAGCAAAAACAGTTGATCGCCCACCTAAACTTTAATTCACTTCTCATTTTTTCTATGTCAAAAAAATAGCACACCCTGTATATAGATATTATGTTTTTATTTTGTGTAATGGGTTAGAAAACTGATAAGATTATTATATTTTTTTGTAGAAACCGCATGTAAAACACAAATATGAAATCCTGTATCGCATTTTTTTTATATGGAATAATTTTCCATGCCCGAGCGCAAATTGAGACGACTCCTTTACCCAATAACGACTCCATTATCCCTTTGGAAGGCCAGCCTATTTACAACAAAACATTTTCGGAATACAATCATCCTTATCTTTTGAACATACGATACGACATAATCGAGGGGAACGTCACAACTTTATTAAACGAAATCACATTGGGAAACGTGTACTGTACAAATACATTCATGAACTGTTTCAATTTATCAATATATGACGTTATATCTCTGATTAATTTAACCGACTATACAAATGCAGAGATCGCCGAAGCGTTGTCCACCTTAGACTTAAATATCAGCAATCCAAACGATCTGATCAACAGCTACAATTTAACATGGAACAAGTTTGGTGATTTTATACATTACATAGATACCACAGTGTCTGAAATTTATAATTCGTTCGTCAACATTTTGTCTAGTCCTAATCAAAAGATGCCGGTTATTCTGGACCTGGTCCAAATAAACAGGAATGAATTCTCATCAATTTTCTTGTTCGGTACTGAAGAAGAAAAGCTTGACCTATTGTCCAATGGTACTTATAGCATTGAAATATTTAATCAAATTTTAGAAATTGCAAATCTAACAGACGCACAACTTTTATCAATTGTACCTTTGCAAAAGATGGCGAGAGCAATTGTGGACCGTAAATTTAGTTATAGAGGAATTCTGGATTTCATACGGACGTTAGAAGTCACAAGCAACGATCTAGAGAAGTTCTATCTAGCACTCAACGTAACTTTGGACGAACTGTACTCAAACGAATTGTACCAACAGTCACTTCGTCAACTTCTAAGAATGTTGAACAAACAACAAGTAATTGGTACGGCCATATCACAGCATCAACTCATCACAAGCGCTGCATCCGTCGATGTTTTTTCCGCCGATTTTATTCGGTTTCTGAACGGAAATGTTGGTCAATATTTCACACTTCAAGCGCACTTGGTAGAAAACGATTCGGAGATTGTACCATTATTTTCGGATGCTGTGGTACCCGAAATACTTTCAAAAGAAATAGCCTTGTATGATTTAAAATATCCTCTAGCTCTGTTTACCAAAGTTTCTTTAAATTATAACGGTTCGGAATGGATCAACTGTACGTATCTATCCCAATTGGAAAACGGAAGCCTGTATCAGGAGCAACTGGATGTACAACTGGGAACCAGTTATCTCCTTTCGAAAAAAACAAATGCCACTGTATATGTTCTCGGAAGTCCGGTGTTTTGTGACGATAAAATTCATGGATTGGCTATAGAAGAAGATGAAGCAATGCTCAAATTTACTCCGATGCTTCCTGATGTAGTGGAACCCCCACATCTGATACCCATAAGGGATTCTGCCACTAAATCAATGCCTACGTATATTACAACGTTAATTGTAGCATTTACGGGTTTTAAACATTTCTACCCTTTGATATAGAACCGATGTTTGTTCATTCGTTGTAGTTTTGAAACGTCAGCGGCAAAAGTACCGAATTGTGTATTTAATTTTCATATTCACACTTCTTGTAAAAGATTATGAGATTAGTTTACTTCATTTCATGGTTAACATTATTTATTTATAGCAATAAAGCGGGTAAACATTACTATGTACTTATATATATTAAGCNGAAAAAAGCTCATTATACTCTCGACTCTTGTTCATTAAACACACCTTTTCATACAGTACCTGCCAAAAGTTTTGTTCAATCATGAATAGTAGTGCGAGTCGAAAACAAGCGTTAAAGCCTTTAATATGTCTTCAAATATAAACAAACATCTCGTTGATATTTTCAGTAGTAAATGGTACCAATAACAGCACATTCGAGCAATGCAATTTTAGTGGATAAAATGGTCAGTTTTTCCGTGCAGTACTGTACGGATTATACGCTCCTCCCCGGTTAAGAATTTGGCCGAGGGTTGTCTCCTTTCTTTTCTGGCCTAGTGCTGTTCTTTTCTACTTTGCGTCGGTCAAACTGAAGGTCACATCGCTACAGAAACTAAACGAAGAATAGAATAATTTTGAATTCCCAGTATGCTCAACGAAGTTGACAATTAAACAATCTACATATTTGTTGTCATTTCTTCCCCAAAAACAATGTCTAAAGAAAAAAATGAAGCTATGTGTGACCCTGAAGATGTCTCACAATTGAGAGCGAAACGTAGGTTGTTGGTTTCACATAAGTAAAAAACCTTTGCCTCATACATAGCTTGATATTTTACTTTATATAATCTAGATACTGCCCCAGCCCTTCTTTGAAAATGTATTTTTTATTACTTCTTTAGCATCTGTCCATCCAGTTTCTGGGCTCCACATTTTTCCTTCCCCAATCATTCCCAATGCCAGGTGAGCTAAAGGGGCTAAATCTCCACTAGCCCCAACGGAACCTTGCTCGGGAACGTACGAAACACAAGAGGCTTAAAAGAAAAATAGTTTAAAAAGTTTGTACTTAAGGGTATGTCTAGTTTTTAAGGGCGAACTAACTATTAAATGCCTTAATCAGTCCCTGCAATGTTTCCAACGAGATTCCGCTGTATCCTTTTGAGAGCACGTTGATTCTTAATGCCAGCAATCTCCTGGCTTTAACAGGACTTAAAGGATTCCCTACTCCTGCGGCATGGGATCTTATTAAATTATATTGAAGGCACCTGAAACACAAGTTGTTGGTCGTAAATAATTAATAGTCTACAAAAAAAAGCGATCGAGTAATCTTCTGCTTGTTTTAGGTATTAATATATATAGTTAATTGTAAACAAAGGAAAACAGGCAGTAATTATTCAGAAAAATTGTTCCCGGAGTTATGAAGGTAAATTTAATAAATAATTCAATGTGTAATTTAATCGAAAATGTAGAAATCGTTCGTCTTTGTCTACAAAGCTTTTGCAAAGCAATAATTAAAAACTACAAAGCTGTAATTGCAAACTGCAAAACTATAAAATCAACACTATGAAGATATAATTGACAACTACAAAACTATGGTTGAAAACTAAGAAGCCATAGTTGAAAATCAAAAAGCTATAATTGAAAACTACAAAGCTGTAACCGAAAGCGACAAAGTTATTATGTAAAACTACAAAGCTATAATTGAAAACTAAAGAGCTACAATTGAAAACTACAAAGTTATAATTGAAAACATCTATTCTCCATTTCTGCCTCTTAGTTTGGATATGACTAAGCAAAGAATCTAGGCACCTAAGGGTTGAAAGGTTTATATTTGTATGAAGAACCTTATATTGAAAATTTTTTAACAAAAAATGTAACTAATTTTAAATAGGCGTCAAAATAGCGAGACAGCTACCCGAATAAAGCACACGCGTAAGGTAAGCGATCGTGCGGAGAGCGCATTCTTGAAATATTATACTATTAATTATCGCTGGAGATACCAAGTTGAATTTTTATCTTATTTGGTTCTATAATGATTCTCGTTGATTATTTGTTTGGCGCCGGCACAGATTCAAAATCAGTTAGTTGCATTAGTTTAGGAGCTTAGTTAGTAACGCCAAAAAGGTTTATTTTCCATTTAATCTATCGCTTTTGAGATTTTCTTTTCCGTCGATTTAAGCATTTGTTAAAAGATGTTTATTTTTCATTTTCTTTGTGGCACAGATAACAATAATGTAGGTGAAAAATAAATCATCTACTATTTTGCTACCTTTAAGGGCAAATTTAACTAAAACCAGCCTGGAGATATATCCTATTAAAAAAAAAAAACAATCATCAATAACGCAATACGCAATAGTTTGTAAGAAGTAATGCGTGATCATACATAAAAAAAAATGAAAAAAAGTATATGCGTCTATTTGAGTACCTCCTTAAAATAAAACATGATAATATAATGATAAAATCACAAATTTTATATATATAGTTAATAACCGCATGGCGAACAATTAATCTTACAACTAAGTTGGGTAATTATTCGCCACGTGGTTTTCAACTATTTATAATATTTATCATTTTATCTTTACAATCGTATTGTCTAGATAATTGTATTTATTTTATGGGTAGATAATGTTACATACAGCTACTCGTGTTACTTATTGTTATGACACTAGAATGTACCTACACACCTAGAAACTGCACTATTTAGAAATAACTGACATTTTACTAGTACTATAAAAATTATTGTAAGAGTCGTACAGTCGGCTAACAAGAATGTAAACGTATACCAGGCATACTTTTACAACAAAACATTTCTGGAAGGCAATCAAACAGGGATGCACACTGTCACACTGTAGGGATAGAAATACAGGGGCAAAAGATTAGTATGCTTAGATTTGCAAATGATATAGCAGTATTAGCATCTAATAAGCAGGACTTAGAGATAGGTTTAAATAAAATGGAAGCAGTATTGACAAAACAGTATTGTATGAAAATAAATAAAAGTAAAACAAAAATACTGGTATGCAAGGAAAGGAAACGTAGGGAAAGAGCAAATATAAAGATAGGAGACGAACAATTAGAAAAAGTGGTTGATTTAAGGTATCTAGGAAGTCAGGTAAGTCAGGACGGAAGGAGTTGTAGGGATATAAAGCAGAGGATAGCACAGAGTCGAGCCGCGTTCAATAAAAATGTCACTTTTATGCTCGCGAACGGTTAATTTAGAAGTTTGAAAAA